CACACACACACACACACACACACACACACACACTCACACACACTGTTGATCACACTGATTGCTCTCAGCTTCAGTCTGAGCTCAGATGAATTATGGGTATTACTGATCTCACATTAAAGGAGTAGTTCACCCAAAAATCAAAGTTTTGACTTCATGAACAGATGTTTAACAGCTCTTTCTTGTACGATAAAAGCAGATGAATCCAGCGGATCCAGAAATCAGACTCATTTTCAAACGAGTCATATATGATACTTTAATGTGTTTTAGACGCTTACTATTGTTCATTTTCATTATGTAGTAAAGAGCATCCCAGATAACATGGAGCGTTAGGGTTTGAATGTAGAATGTTTGAATGTTTGTTCAGAGTTATCTGGTCTTTAATAATGTTCCCAAAATGTTAGCACAATTATTTATACTTAGATACTCATCTAATGTTTTTTTTAAATGTTACTGTTTGTTACAAAACATCCAGAGAACATTTAAAAATAGCATTCTCATAATGTTTGCATGTTCCCTTAAAGGGGTGGTTGACTGTTTTTTTCCTAGGCTTGATTGTTTATGGGGTGCAGTCTAACTTGTGTTAATGCTTAGTTTTTAAAAAAACACATAATTTTTCACATAATTTACCTTTATTCCACACCGCTCTGTCCCTTCTCTGAGAAACGCGCTGATCTTTTCCTGTTTTTATGAAGCCCCTCCCTCAGAAATAGGCGATGGCCGATTGAGAAGCAGAGGATATTATTGAAGAGGATCGTGCAGAACCTGTGCAAGCACGGCTTTTAATGGTAGGCCTATGTTTTTTGTTTGTTGTTGTCTCATACTTTTAGATACGCTGTTATTTGTAAATGCTACTGCTTCTGTTAGCTTTTACTATACGGTTTTATCCTGATTAAAGCTTTAATACAGTACGGCAACTGCACGCGCGTCCATGTATAACGCTTCTAATAGCTATGTGAAAATAAGTGTATAGTTGTAACAGTTCATTGTTGGAGCTGAGCTGAATGAGAGAGAGAGAGAGAGATGCAGAGCATGGGAATCGAGGAGCAGTATTAAGAACCGCTGCTTTAGAACATTGATTTTGAAACTTGTGAATCCATTAGAATCGTTAGAAGACAGAATCACTGCATCATTACTGTGTCTGTTCCCCTTTCGGGCTTGAACTGATGGTAAAACTAATGACATTATTTACTGTCTTTACATTTATTTTGAAAGATGAAGCTCGTGATTATGGTAAGGGGCGTTACATTTCCGATGAGTGCTTGCGGTGTTCAGCCAATCACAATGCACTGGGTCAGCTGGCCAATCAGAGCAGACTGCACTTGTCAAAGGAGGGGGCTTTGTTGAAAACTACGTGTTTGAGAGAGGCGGGGCATAGAGGACCTACAATTATGTACAGTATTTGAAAAATAATGTGTTTTTTGAACATTAAAGCATGTCAACATATTCTGTTACACCAAATACACAAAATAATGATCTTTAAAAAAGCATCATATGACCCCTTTAAACTGCCAGAATTTTAAAAGACAATATTTCCGTTTGCATTGAACTTTCACCTTCGTAACTTTGCAGATATTGTTTATGCTCAAACAGCAACATTACACACTAACTAACGTTAAAAAAGTGAAATCGCAATGAACCACCCCTTTAAAGGAACAGTTCACCCAAAAATGAAAATTCTGTCATTTACCCTTCCTCAAGTCGTTCCAAACCTGTACAAGTTTCTTTCTTCTCTTGAACACAGAAAGGAAGATATTTTGAAGGGTGTTGGTAATCAAACAGCTGACGGCAGCCATCGATTTCCATAGTATTTTTCTCCACATTATAAAATGTTAATGTGTACCGTAAACTGTTTGATTACCCACATTCTGCAAAATGTCTTTTTTTGATGAACTATCCCTTTAACATTCATATAACCAAGAAAAAATGTTTTTAAAACATTTAAAAACATTTAAATAACAACAGAATGTTCTTAGACAATATTTTTGTTATAGCTGCATGATTAGTGGTCTGTGAGGGTTCTGATCAGGTCTGAGGTGTTGTGTTGACTCTCATCATGTGTGCAGACGTGTGTGTAGCGTTGTGTGTGTTCTGTGTGTGTTTGTGTCAGATGTGGACGAGTGTGAGGTTCCTGGCATGTGTATGAACGGTCGCTGCGTCAACACCGAGGGATCGTTCCGCTGCGAGTGTATGCCGGGACTCGCCGTGGGGCTCGACGGACGCATCTGCGTAGGTGAGTGCAGCCACACACACACACACACACACACACTCTCACACACACTCACTCACACACACACACACACACACACACACACACA